TTTAACATCCATAAAATAGCAATCCGATGATCTCAACCATATCACATAACTAATATCACCTAACACTTAGCACAAATATAACACTTAAAGTGGGTTCATGCAAAGTGTTTTAGTTTTAGTCATAGTCATAAGCGTTTGCTTTAGCTGTAGCTATAAGGAAAGGAATTAGTTTATGCAATGTTTAAGCACAACACATTAAAGGAGAATTTTGACATATAAACAGTCGGGCCACAACTCGTGCCAAATAAAAAAAAAAGAAATCGGGAGTGAAACTGTTTTGTTTGTTATGAACAAAAAGAAAATTGTTGTCGCTGCTAGAGAAATTAAGATTAAGAAATAACAGATGACGGCGTTTTGGCAGAAGATCAATCAATAAAATTAGAAAATTAGAGGGAAATTATGCCATTCTGATTAGAAACATGTTGGAGAAAGAGGAGGACGATTTGCAATTTTTTAAATATGTTCGCATGTCGTTCGAAGAGTTTAATGAATTGTTAAGACTGGTTGAACCTTTTTTAGCAAAAACACCAAATAAAAATGCAATTTCACCCACTCAAAGGTTGATAGTAATCCTACAATAAAATATGCATGACCAGTACTACTATAACACAATACCTTAACTTTTCGCTCTTACGACTATGCCAACAACTACGACTAAAACACGTTAGATGAACCCACCTTTATTTATCGCTTAATTCAAGTAATAAGTTTTATGTTTCTAAACTACTTTATCACCCTTAAATGCCCGCACATCAACTAAAACACGTTATTAGCGAATCAACGTTTAAACATCCCCTCCTTAATTTATTGTGTGAAGAAGAAATACTGGAGGTGAATAAACAAAAAATGTAAAGACGACGGGGCGAAGCGGTTTTAAATCGTTTTTTTACTTTTCAAACTCAACCTTTCAATAAAAAAATTACTCGTCTTCTCGAAACATTTCAAATAAAACTTACGTCATTTTACTAAAATAAAACGCACTAATCGAATTTCAATGTTTAACACTTCCTGCAAAAGAATCAGGTGCCCAACAAATTGTTAAAACGAAACATTATTATTGAAATATAAAACATTAAAACCAGTCAAATCGTTCTCTAGTTATAATCAATTTAATACAAATTAATTTTTTGTTATTGGGGGCTAGACTTTCGGGCGTCCATATGTGCATAAACAACGAACCGAAGACGGTGTCATTCCGAGGGCTGCACAAGGTTAACGGAAAAGATTCGAGATCGGGCTTTTTGTGATTTCAATAGAAGAAACTATGACGAATCGAATGACGCATAGATCTTGATAATAGAGTGCATCGTTTACAAGTTATGACTACTTAAAGAAGGTCGTTTTTGTGTTATTTTCGTGTACCTTCGCAATATTTTGGCGTTTTAGCGGAATTCGAAAGAGATTTCGAATATTTCCACTTTCGTATGGGCTAAGGATTCAGTTTTCGAATGAGACATTGTTTATTAAAATCGGTTCAGTGGTCCTCTTGTTATAATCAAAATGCTATACATGTAAAATCCTATCTAATTGGGGGATTGAAAAGTGGGGGCTAACCTCGATGTTGGGATGATCGTGCATTCTCTTCTCGTGTTTAGATGCGAATGATGCAATTTCTGATGACATCGATGCTACTTCCAAGTCGTAATGGAGGTCGGTGTTTCTTATATACCAAGGTGCATTCAGTATGCACCTTAGTACTTTGTTTTGGAATCTTTGAATTAGACTTGCATTTGTTTTGCAGGTATAACCCCACAGTTGGATTCCCTATGTCCATTTTGGTTTTAATACTTGCTTGTATATCAGCAACGTGTTTCTTAGTGATAACGTTGATTTTCTGCCAATAAGCCAATATAGGTGTCTAGATTTGATATTAAGTTCCTCACGTTTTTCTTTTGACCCGAGCTTTCCATTTGAGTTTGGCATCCAGCGTCATCCACGTTATCTTATCGATACTGAAGTTAAAGTTATTCAATACTCAAGATATTTCTTTTGAGATGTTTCTCTTATCTCTAAGAAACTTTTTAAATTATTAGATAATTGAATCTCTAAAGTCTCAGTGTGTAGAAGTCTGTGGGTGTCTGGTTCTAGAGTCTCTTATGCATAAGAATTGAAACACTGGAATTATTTTCAGATACACTGAATTAAAAGATTTTGTCTCATTTGTTATATAAAGTAGCAAAAACTTCATTAAGTATAACGTCGGAGTCATTATGTTATTTATCATAATGTAATTCCATGTTTATCAGCGTTTGTTATGATAGCATCCAGATGAGATGACACCCCATGAGATACAGAATGATTCACATCGGCCCTTTCACAGACAGAATCTCTCGTGTTACAGTTTGATGAAGACCATGAAGAGAGTCAAGTCTGGTTGTTTTTTGGACGTTTTTTATAACCATATTATCGCCTGGCATCAAAAATTCGCAAAATATATCATCTTGAGATTAAAAAGAGACTTTAAGAACAAAAGTTGTAGCAAATTGTGTTGTTTACAATATTGCTCGCTTTCACTTTTAATCTTAGATGCATAGATATCGAGAAAACTACGAAAATATGAAAACTTGATGAATTCTTGTTTTTTGTAAGTTGTTGATGGTTACAATGGGGAATCTAAGCATATTACAAAAAAAACTTTAAGAACCAAAGTTGTAGCAAATTATGTTCTTTATAACTTTGTTTTCTTACACTTTTGCTTTTAGATGCATAGATATCGAGAAAAATACGACAATATGAAAATTTGATAAATTCTTGTTTTTTGCAAGTTGTTGATGGTTACACTGGCGGATCTAAGCATATTACAAAAAAAAACTTCAAAAACCAAAGTTGTAGCAAATTGTGTTGTTTACAATATTGCACTCTTTCACTTTTCCTCTTAGATGCATAGATATCGAGAAAACTACGAAAATATGAAAACTTGATGAATTCTTGTTTTTTGCAAGTTGTTGATGGTTACACTGGCGAATCTAAGCATATCACAAAAAAACTTTAAGAACCAAAGTTGTAGCAAATTATGTTCTTTATAATTTTGTTTTCTTACATTTTTGCTTTTAGATGCATAGATATCGAGAAAAATACGACAATATGAAAATTTGATAAATTCTTGCTTTTTGCAAGTTGTTGATGGTTACAATGGCGAATCTAAGCATATTACAAAAAAAACTTTAAGAACTAAAGTTGTAGCAAATTGTGTTGTTTACAATATTGCTCTCTTTCACGTTTCCTCTTAGATGCATAGATATCGAGAAAACTACGAAAATATGAAAACTTGATGAATTCTTGTTTTTTGTAAGTTGTTGATGGTTACACTGGGGAATCTAAGCATATTACAAAAAAAACTTTAAGAACCAAAGTTGTAGCAAATTATGTTCTTTATAATTTTGTTTTCTTACACCTTTGCTTTTAGATGCATAGATATCGAGAAAAATGCGACAATATGAAAATTCGATGAATTCTTGTTTTTTGGAACTTGTTGATGGTTACACTGGGAAATCTAAGCATATTGCAAAAAAACTTTAAGAACCAAAGTTGTAGCAAATTGTGTTGTTTACAATATTGATCTCTTTCACTTTTCCTTTTCAATGCATAGATATCGAGAAAAATACTAAAATATGAAAATTTGATAAATTCTTGTTTTTTGCAAGTTGTTGATGGTTACACTGGCGAATCTAAGCATGTTACAAAAAAACTTTAAGATCCAAAGTTGTAGCAAATTGTGTTGTTTACAATATTGCTCTCTTTCACTTTTAATCTTAGATGCATAGACATCGAGAAAACTACGAAAATATGAAAACTTGATGAATTCTTGTTTTTTGTAAGTTGTTGATGGTTACACTGGGGAATCTAAGCATATTACAAAAAAAACTTTAAGAACCAAAATTGTAGCAAATTATGTTCTTTATAATTTTGTTTTTTTACACTTTTGCTTTTAGATGCATAGATATCGAAAAAAATGCGACAATATGAAAATTTGATGAATTCTTGTTTTTTGCAAGTTGTTAATGGTTACACTAGCGAATCTAAGCATATTATAAAAAAAACTTTAAGAACCAAAGTTGTAGCAAGTTGTGTTGTTTACAATATTGCTCTCTTTCACTTTTCCTCTTAGATGCATAGATATCGAGGAAACTACGAAAATATGAAAACTTGATGAATTCTTGTTTTTTGCAAGTTGTTGATGCTTACACTGGCGAATCTAAGCATTAAAATAAAATAAAGAGTTGCACTTTTTTAATGGATAATTGTTATATTTATGTTCTACCGGTTTCGACTCAACATAGAGTCATCTTCAGGAACGCCTAATGTTACAACGAAATAAGAATAAACCATTAGTTACAATAAATACATGTGTTCACTTAAAATTTATAGGTTATGTTTTCATTAAAGACAATAAAATAAAATAGATGAGCTTAAACTTACGTCATGATTTGAAAAAAGGGGCTGGTATCAATATTAAACATTTGTTCGTGGTTAAAAACTTAAGAAAATCAAAAATAAAAATGTAATTATGGGCGGATGCGATGAATCGTTTAATAAAATGGTTGTCTGAAACGTGATTGTCAAGGTCAAACTTATATCCTGAAGTTTGCGGTTATCAATAAATTTTCAAATTTCAAAAATAATAAATAGTATGTAGAAAATACGATTTAAAAAACACAATTCAAAGGAAGGGGGGGGGGGGTGTGGTGGTTATGGTGAAGCTTAAGGGAGAAAAAAGGGGAGATGTTGAGGGATATTTTGGGGAGAAGACAGGATAGGTAGCCAAAGGAATCCAGTATGTTGCGAGCTCAAGCTGCTACCTTGGCTTGAGTTCCTCGTTCATACTGGGTTATTAAATACTGAATTGAACAAAAAATAAAGTTAAAAAAATTTTAGAAAATTAAAAAATTAAAAAAAAAAAAACTCAGAAGTTAAAAATCAAAACTCACGTCACAAATCAAAATAATTGATACAAAGACAACAGGATATAGACACACGGTAGTGTTTTAGTAACAATCAAAATGGGAGATCGGAGATTATCAAACGTCGATTATAAAGATGAGGGATGGTGTGATAGTTTCTTTGGGGGTATGGGAATAGGTAGGAATTCTGGGGGAGAGAGGAGGTGTTGGTAGTCAAGGAGCCCAGACGTTGCGACACTCAAGCTACTACCCTAGCTTGAGTTCCTCGTTCGTCTGGGGGTTTTTTAGGGGGAGTATATGGTGTTCTGAGAAAGGTGTATATTGGTCGGGTACTGGTTGTGATCTGGTCGTTTAGGCAGATCTTCTCTGGATAATTATATTTGAATTTATTAATTTCGTAATTCTCGAGGGCTTCGAGTAAGTTGCTCTTATTTTTGGAATGAAGTAACGTGGTGTTTTCTTCTTCATTGAATTGGTGGTCTTTATTGAAGATCAAATGTCTGCCGAAATTAGATCTGTCTTGGGTTTTGTGTTCATTAATCCGTGTTTTCAGTGATCTCCCTGTCTCTCCTATATATGTAGCATTACAGGTTCCGCATTCTAGTTTATATACTCCGTTGTTGTTTAATTTCTTTATCCTGTCTTTGTTGTTGGTTAATATTCGTCCTATGGTGTTGTTACTTTTAGATGTTAGTTTCATGTTGTATGTCTTAAAGATTTTCTTTAGTTTGCTGTTAATGTTCCCCTGATATTCTATAGATTTGTATGATAAGGTTTGAGTTTCCTGTCGGTTGCTAAGTGTTGTCATGCTGTTGAGAGCGTTTTNTTCGGTCCCTTGTTGAGTAATTTCATTTCCTGTTGGTTAAATCTAATATCCGTTAGGTTTGTGATTCTCTTATGGAATGTATGTATCACATCATTGTTGCTATTAATCTGTGATCTCTTCTCTTTTGTGTGTTTCTCCTTACGTAAATTGTCAATCTTTTTTTGTTTTTTCGACCATTCATCATCCAGTTTTCCTATTATTAATGGTTGTATGTTATTGTAAATCTCATCGATCTCCAAATTATGATGCATTTCAGTTATACTTTGATAGTTATGGTAAATCTCAATATTAAATCTGTTCAATCGGGAGTAATGCTTCTTAATTTCATGTCCAATTGTTTGTTTTATGAGTTTCCGTTGTTGGGTGATTGATTTTTAAGAACATCACTAACTTTACACCCGACTATACAATAACCAATCGGAATGACCTCTTAAACAAACTTGAAAACATGTCTCTACCTAATAATTACACAATGGTTTCCTTCGACGTTACTAATTTATATACAAACATACCAACTGATGAAACACTCAAGATACTGAAACAAATCCTAGATGAGAAGGTCACGAATGCAGAGGATAGTAGAAACATTTTCAATCTCTTTAAAATATGCATACAACAGAACTTTTGTTCATTTAATGATAAAATATACACATACACCAAAGGTCTTCCGATGGGATCTCCGCTCAGCGGATTGCTAGCTGACATCTTCCTAAACAATATAGAAAAAGATTTCATTTGTAATGACATAAACCCATACAGAAATAATATAATATTATGGCAACGTTACGTAGACGATATTCTTGTTTTCATAAATACGAAGGAAGATACTATTATTGAAGGTTTACACACATACATAAATGAACTGCACGAAGACATAAAATTCACAATAGAAAAAGAACAAAACAACAAATTAAACTTTCTTGACATAACATTAGATAAAAATGATAACCACCTCCAATACAAAATATATCGAAAACAAACACAAACAGATTTGATTATCCCACAAGACTCTCACCACGAATATACCCATAAAATGGCAGCATTTAGAGCCTATATAAATAGAGCTCTAAATACAAAATTAGATCAAACCGAAATGAAAAGAGAGATAACAATAATTAAGCAGATTGGTGGAAATAACGGGTNTTGATGGTTACACTGGGGAATCTAACAACATTACAAAAAAAACTTTAAGAATCAAAGTTGTAGCAAATTGTGTTGTTTACAGTATTGCTTACTTTCACTTTTCCTCTTAGATGCATAGATATCGAGAAAACTACGAAAATATGAAAACTTGATGAATTATTGTTCTTTGCAAGTTGTTGATGGTTACACTGGCGAATCTAAGCATATTACAAAAAAACCGTTAAGAACCAAAGTTGTAGCAAATTATGTTGTTTACAATATTGCTCTCTTTCACTTTTCCTCTTAGGTGCATAGATATCGAGAAAACTACGAAAATATGAAAACTTGATGAATTCTTGTTTTTTGTAAGTTGTTGATGGTTACACTGGGGAATCTAAGCATATTACAAAAAAACCGTTAAGAACCAAAGTTGTAGCAAATTATGTTGTTTACAATATTGCTCTCTTTCACTTTTCCTCTTAGGTGCATAGATATCGAGAAAACTACGAAAATATGAAAACTTGATGAATTCTTGTTTTTTGTAAGTTGTTGATGGTTACACTGGGGAATCTAAGCATATTACAAAAAATAACTTTACAAACCAAAGTTGTAGCAAATTATGTTCTTTATAATTTTGCTTTCTTACACTTTTCCTCTTAGATGCATAGATATCGAGAAAATACGACAATATGAAAATTCGATGAATTCTGGTTTTTTGCAACTTGTTGATGGTTACACTGGGAAATCTAAGCATATTACAAAAAAGCTTTAAGAACCAAAATTGTAGCAAATTATGTTCTTTATAATTTTGTTTTCTTACACTTTTGCTTTTAGATGCATAGATATCGAGAAAAATACGAAAATATGAAAATTTAATGAATTCCTGTTTTTTGCAAGTTATTCATGATTACACTGGAGGATCTAAGCATAGTACAAAAAAACTTTTAGAACAAAAGTTGTGGCAAATTTTATTTTTAACAACGCTGTTCTCTTGTACCTTTGCTTTTGGATGCATAGATATCGAGAAAAATACGAGAATATGAAAATTTGATGAGTTCTTGTTTTTTGTACGTTATTGATGGTTACATTCGGGAATCTAAGCATAGTACAAAAAAACTTTAAGAACCAAAGTTGTAGCAAATTGTGTTCCATACGATATTGCTCTTTTACACTTTTGCTCTTAGATGCATAGATATCGAGAAAGATACGAAAATATGAAAACTTGATGAGTCCTCAAAGTCAAAAAAATTGATCAGATTAAGATTTTTTCCTTTGGGGATGCTTAAACGTGCAAATATAGAAACATCACCCTATGTCCTTTTAAGCAGCTAAGAAGGCAATCACCCATTTCAGTTGAAATTACACGAAGTGCTTCGTAGTTCGAAGCACTTTCAGGAGAGACTTCGTCGATATATCAACAACTCCGTTTCCCCGACATAAATTTTCAAACGAAGGACCATAAAATGGCTTAAAATAATAAAATTATTTTTTTGTGCGCCTCTAACTGCCTTTTGAAACATGGGAGATCTTTTTGCCGCGCCCACGTCTTCAGCTACCTTATATCGGGCAAGTGGTCAAGAAATCTGATGAAGCTGTTGTTCAGCGTTGCCAACCAATACCGGCCAAATATATGTATGAGTTGGATCAAAAATAAATAAATTCTGGAATAATTAGATTTTGGAGTTCTATGTAATCCGAGACGCAATTGGTACATAGAATCTGATATAAAATATAGGTCACGTTATCTTATCGATACTCAAGCGCAAGTTATTCAATACTCAAGATATTTCTTTCGATGTGTTAACAAAACCCTCTTATCTCTAAGAAACATTATTAGATAATATCTTTTAGTATATAAATACATCGAAAACGTTTAATTTTAAAACATTGATTTTCAAGATGTTGAATAAATCTGTTATAATTATTTTTCTGGGCATTATATTGTGCAATAAAATCTACGCACAATCATGTCAAGGTAAACTTTTTAATTTATTTATAACTACATTATATATATTGTCATTTAAAAAAATTTTTAGATCGTGAATTGGGACCACCGCAAAATTTTCAAGCTCGCGTTAATGAGGTTTTGTTTCTTAATTGGCTGCCACCAGCCGGATTTGAATCTTGTGCAGTTACTTATTCGCTTCATATTCAAAACATGAACACTTCAGAGTATTTAACACCCATTGTACATTTGGGTGGTTTCAACTACATTTTTGATTATGATAAATACTGTAAAACATGTCTTCACATGAGAGCTGTGCTCTTCGCTCATAATAGTGGCCGAACATCACCCTTTAGCACACTTGTTGCTTTTTTAAGTACAATTTTAATTTTTAATGAGAATTTGTTTTGATGTAATATTTTTTTAGCACCGGTGGTTCCACAAGGTCCTCCAACTTCTCTATTTCTTAACCGTACAGAAACAGCTTTAGGGATTTATTGGTCACTTCCGGAAGGTTTTGAAAACTGTGGCCGTTTCTTTAGTAATTTCCTAACTATTATGTCGAGAGAGACAGGACAATTCACGATTTCTTTCCCAATGAGTGGAGCTTCTAATTCTTTCTATTTCTCGTATCCACCAGGGCATCCACTTGTCTGTCAAGAAGTAGATGTTGAAGTGGCCATTTCTTTTACAGCAGCAACAACTATTACTGGAACTACTATATTTGGTAAACAATTTTTTTTTGTATTTAGTAAAAATGTCAATTGTATTTATTTATTTTTAGGACCACCTGGACTTTGCTAACAAAGTCTATAAAGAAGAAACTTTACTAAATTAACGAGCAACTCGTTATTAATTGTTTAATTCTTTTACAATTACTATAAAGTTTAATGTTTAAAAAAAAATTTTTTTTTAATTGTCTTTAAATAAACCTTCAATTTTAATGAAAACGAAATTTGATTTGTGCAAATCTTTATAAATAAAAAGTTTTTGAATAGAGTGAAAAGACGTATTCACAGGCTTTAATTTGGAAAAAGTATCTCTTAAATTGGACACGAAAGGCTCATACTCAATAGATGGATTAGTAGGTATGAAGAACTCTTCAGGAAGTCTTAGTGGTTGTTCGTAAAGCAGTTCTGCTGAGGAGCAACCTAGATCTTCCTTTAGAGATGTTCTTAATCCTAGTAGGATGAGGGGTAGATTATTGTTCCATCTAGTAGTGTCTCCTTTAGCGATTATAGCCGTCTTCAATGATCAATGAAATCGTTCTAACATTCCATTTGCTTGTGGATGGAGAGATGATGTGTGTATTTGTCGTGTGCCGAGCAATGTGTTAAATTTTGAAAATAGGTTTGATTCGAATTGCTGTCCCTGATCATGTGTTATTGTGGTAGGTATACCAAATCGACTAAAATAATGCCGGAAGAGTGTGTTCGCTATAGTAGAAGATGTGGATCTTTTAACGGAAAAGCTCCTAGTCATCGAGTGAAGCCTTCGATAACAGTAAGTACATAAGTACAACCAAGTCCAATCAAGTCGATATGTATATGATCAAATGATGTGGATGATTGGTGATTTTGTATGTTTTTGGATCTTTGCTTGTTGACATTTTAAACAGGTTTTGTTCCAAACATAAATTTGCTTTGACATGTGTGGCCAAAAGAATCTTGTTTTGATTACATGAATGGTGGAACGTATTCCGCGATGAGATAAGCTTGTCTGAACTGTTGTGGGATATAAATTCTTGGAAATGATGAAGAGGTTTCACACCACAGTTTCATACTAGATTATGATGTTGTTTGATGTGCCAAACGATAAGATTTTGAAGGATTATTGGAAAATTGTTTATTTAGAAAGTTTAACCGTTCTGTGTCGGCAAGTTGAGTGTTGCTGAGGGTTAGAAAATCTGGAGAAGATGAATTTAGAGATCCGATGTTTGTTCTGGATAGAGTATCTGCAACAATATATGAATTTCCTCTGATGTATTTGATATCTAAAGTACATTATGCAATATAACTTAGATATCGGGTATGACGAGGAGTTTTCTCTGTGGACGAAAAAATTAATGTGACAATGGATTTGTGATCTGTATATACTGTAAATTGCTTCCCATGTAAGGAATGTTTTAAACATTTTATGGCAGAGCAGATTGCTAATAATTCTCTATCAAAAGTTGAATATTTGGTTTGGCATAAAGCAAATTTTTTGGAAATGGTTGAGATTTTCCATTGATGGTTTTTGTTAAAACAGCTCCCATACCTGTGTGAGATGGATCAGTTGACAATGATGAAGACGGATGCCCTAGAAAGATAGATTTTAACAGAAGATCTTTGGCTGAAGAAAAAGCGTTGTCGTGTTGCAGTGTCCAAGAAGTTGACGAGATCATTTTTTGTTTTTGATAGTGAAGTGATTTTGAAAGTGTGTATAAGGCATCAAGAATATTTGAAATGTTAGGTAAGAATCTATGGTAGGAAGTTTAACATTCCCAAAAATCTTTGTAACTCTTTTAGAGTCGTTGGTTTTGGAAAATGTGTTATCGCTGTGATTCTTTATTGGGATGGTCGAATACCATCAGCTAAAACATGATGACTAAGAAAATCCAATGATTTAACACCGAAAATGCATTTTTTGGGTTGGATTGAGCGTGGAAGAGACAGATAAAAACCATAGACTTATCTCAGGTCACAACAAGGGCTAGAAAAGGAGGCGGAAAAATGACAGAATTAGATAATGTCTCTGATAGTTCAACTTCCATGAAAGCTGGGGAAGTATTTAAACCGGGAAGTTCTATATCGAGAACTCCACCATCGAGTTCTACCTCATTATCGGAGCCTTTAGACGTGGAAAACAAACATGTAGAAACATTTCCAGAGCGGAAGGATTCGAATATAGATAACGCAAATTTAAGCGCATTACATGAAACAAAAATCAAACTAATGGACTTGGTTAAAAACGAATTGGGGCAAATCGATAGAATGGTGGGATTAAAAATAGTCGACACCGAATCTTTGGTGGTAGACCTAGATCATAGATTAGCAACTGTACAGGCAAAACTTGAAGAAAAAGGTAAATTTGTCAAAAAATAGGAACTCATAAACCAGCAACCAAGCAGTATCTTGGTCAAATGTAGTAAAAGAAAAGCGATATCAGGAAAAACAGCGGAAGGATGCAAACAACGTATTAATTGTATCCAGCAAAGATGAAAACTTGGGAAGTGAAGACATAAAGAAGAAAGCAATAACTTGTATTGAAGAGGACTTGAATAAACTCCAATTGTCAAGACTGAGGAAGCTCAAAGGCAGGCGAATTCTTATGGAAGGCGGAAGTCAGGTAGATATTGATATTGTAAAACTAAAAATAGGTGAAAGTCAGGAATTAGAAATCAGTAAGGCAAAAAAACTGAGACCAAGGCTTATTATATATAACATAAGTCGGGAAATAACAGACGAGGAACTTATGAGTAGGGCTCGGATTTTATGCAAAATGCATCTTGTTTATTTTCTGGAATATTTCTTTCAAAATTGGTTTCTGGGCGAATTACAGAAAAATAAGGCAGATGGTACAATAAAAAAATTGCATATTTTGCATATTTTTACAATTTTTTTGGTTGTTGCATAAATTGGCCTTTTACAGCATATTTTGTCATTTTACTAGATTTGTTTCTTGGTGCTTAATAAAATAAATATAATGATTGCTAGATTTTTAAATATGCGAACATACCTTTTAGTTTCAAGCACAATACAGGATATTTTTTGACAAAATCCCTAGCGCTGTTGAGTTTAAGTTTAAGGAAATCCCCAACCATGGTTACTGTGGCTGTGTTCAGTGTGAGTTCAGTGCCTAAACTGAAATCGTGTCTTGTGTCCCAGTGGATAAAAAGTTATCCCGAACAAAATTTAAATAATGAGGAATTATTTTGTAAAGCTTGTGCCAAAGTTGTAAGTATTTTTTTAAAAATTATGTCGTAACGTTTTAGCCAAAGATTTAAGTTAAAAATTAGAGTTTTCAGCGGAGTTACCAATGGTTTGATGACAACGAAATTGTATTTCTCATAGACTTTTACACTAGTTTTAACACGAGTTAAAAATATGGAAAACTGTTACATTAAAACTATATTAAATTTGATGTCCCATTTTCTTAGAATATGTTTTTACATATGATCGACAATGAAAAATAGGTACGAATCTGTTTTATATTCTCAGATTTAAATTTTTAATCTGTTGAGTGTCTATGGCTAACTTTTTTAATTATTCTTTTTTAACATAACGTGTGAGAGGAAGTCCCAAATAGAACAACATGTGAAAATTGCAAAACATATACAAAAATGTGATAGAAATAGATCGATTACAACTATAAGAAAGGTATATTTTTACGTATTTCCACATATTTTTGCATATTTCGGATAAAAAGCTTGCATATTTATGCGCATATTTCTTATAATTAGACTGCATAAAAATCCGAGCTCTACTTATGAGATATATATTCGAAAAAAATCTACACTCGAGAGACATTCAAAAAGTTGAGTGCGTACTATTATTTAGAACCGGGAATAACCAGAAAAATGTTTTCAATATGGTCGTAGATGTAAGCAGAAGGGCTAGAAATATATTGCTAAATCAGGGTCCTATTTATATGAACTACTATTCGAAGAGGGTAGAAGATTTTTGGAACTTTCACGCTGTTATAATTGTCAGGCATTCGGACATATAGCCAAAAAATGTAAACTTACCAAAACATGTGGTCATTGCGGTCAACATGGTCACTCCTTTTCTGAATGTTGCAACAAGGACAAACAGGCACGAGAAGCAAGAACTGTAATGAATATATAAAAGCAGTAGAAGCCCTTATTGCAGCAATAGATTATGAATAGCAATTACAGAAGATACCCGAAGTAGCAGTTATGCTGTTGATATCCTATGCGTAACAGAACACTGGTACAAACAGGATAAAATGAAGGCTACACATTTACTAAACTGCTAGTAGTAGGGCTAGTAGCTAGGAGATGACATGGGGCAGCTATTGCAATTTGAATTGAGTGACACTCGTATCTCGATTGACCTACAAATGAAGAGAATAGTTACAGATGATAAAATAAAGACATTCATAAATGAAGTTCGCAATTTGAATGAAGTCAACATTTTTGAGGGTTTACCATCTGCCTACGATAAATTCTTTGCTGAATTTAAAAACACATTCCACAAATTTCCACAAACCTGTTGAAGCTTGTAAAAACAAATGCATTGGTAGAAAACCGTGTAGAGTGGTGGACTGACTAATTAAAAGAAATGAAAAACAACATATTCTGAAGTAGTCAAGCAGGTGAAAAAAGATGAGAAAGGAAACAAGTACACAGAAACTTCAGAACCCAATATTTAAAGAAAATAGACGAAACTAAAAGATCTCACATAACAAGAGAAATCAGCACAACAGATAACAAACAGAAAGCTATTTGGAAGATTATAAACAGGGAAACTAATAGAAAACAACAAACAACAAATACTGAACATAGCACAGCTCAAGAACTAAATGACTTTTTTACCGCAATCGGCAAAAATGCGACAATAATAATCAATTCCGATTGCAACCCAACATCGCTGGTGCAAAACATGCCAATGAATCTCCAACTGTCATTTTTTATTTTTCCAACCACTAACGAGGAAGTACCACAAATTGTTTACAATCTAAAAAGCAAAACGACACCAGATGCTTTTAGTCTCTCCGTAAAACTGCTAAAACTAATCATACCATACATTGCTGACGTGATATATAGTATGATCGACAATTCTTTTGCGAATGGAATATTCCCAGACCTTCTTAATAAAGCAAGAATCACGCCGATTTATAAAAGCAAAGGAGGGCACTATTTAGAAGATTACAGACCAATATCAATTCTACCTGC